TTTTCTATTGCAATTCTTATCTAATGAATTTAGTTACGACCAACATCAATTGAAAAAGAAATTTTTCCTGCTATGGCTAGTGATAAACAATTATATGCATTTGAGCTTAAAGGTACAATATTTAATGAAATTTAATACATATATATATGATTGTATTTCTATAGGTTTTTGGATGGATGTTGGTCAACCAAAAGATTATTTAACCGGAATGGGTTTATATCTTAATTTTGCTCGAGCTTCTATGCCAGATCGATTATCGCGTGATAATGGTACAGTAGGCAATGTTTTAGTGGTAAGATTATATTTATTAGTTCTTTGTTTTTTTAAATCAAGTTGATATAAAATTTCTTATTTTGTTTTCTATATAAAAGGATCCTACAGCTAAAATTGGTGAACGATGTCGTATAGGCCCAAATGTCGTTATCGGTCCACGAGTTATTATACAAGATGGAGTATGTTTAAAAAACTGTACAATACTTGCCGATTCACTGGTTAAAAGTCATTCATGGATTGCAAATTGTATTATTGGTTGGAGATGCAATATAGGTCAATGGGTAAATAATCTATTATTAACTAATAGATTATTGTATAAATGTTTCCTTTAGGTTCGTATGGAAAATACAAGTGTACTTGGACTTGATGTATCTGTGCAAGATGAATTATTTATCAATGGAGGTATTATATTACCGCATAAAGCTATTAGTGAAAGTGTTTCAGAACCGAAGATTTTGATTTAAAACTTAAAATAAACTATATTGATTTTATCATATGCGCAATGTTTTGTTTCTTTAAAAAATTCTTAACTCTTGGTAATTGTGAATCTCTTTCTTCTTCTTATTCTTCTTCTTTCTTTTTATTTTTAACATAAAATATCAAACATGACACAAAAAATTATTTAAAGTTTTCATTGTTATTCTTATTTATAATGATAAAAAAAAACAGTGACTAATAAACTTCACTTGGTGCGTTTTTGTCTTTTTTATTATATGTCATTCCAATCCATATGATTTTCTTTTTTTTTTGTTATGTTTTTTTTTCTGCTCGTTAATTGGCTTCTTTTTTTTTAACCTTATATTTATCGTTAAGCAAGAAACTAAACAAATATATATCCATCTATAGTCTTTTTATTTCTATTTCGTTCTATTCATTAAATAAAAATTCGATGTTTTTTTCTTAAAAGACGTCATTTACATCCAGACGAATAGTACACCTTTCTTTTTGCAAAATAACAAGCACTAGGTTACTGCGAACCTTATAATCTATCTGTATATATATAGCTTCTTTTTTTTATATTTATAAGATGTCCGAAACATACTTAGTGGAAACAAATAATAGTTGTCATAGGTGTCACTTATCATACCTGTAGCATATTGGTTGCCAGCTGAATCTAGATTGCAACGAAAAATGATTCAGACACAGCAACAAGTGCTTGCACGTGCAACTACATTTCTATCGATGATGAAACTCTACTGTTTATTTTTCTTATATATTTCTATTCATACATTTTAAATCATGCATTAATGGTTCCTGCGGAATAATGATTGCATGCATTGAAAATAAATTCCATATCTAAATGTATTTTAGTTTTGAAATAAAAAGGAGCAAATCTCAATTGCCAGACAATAAACTATAAACGATCTAGCATATTCTTTTTTTTTCTTTCCAAGCAAAAAGATGTAATCTACGATAAAATTCACTATCCATTGATTACTTTTGGTTGGCTTACACGTATATTTATTTTATGTTTGATTCGATGGTGATGTAAGGAAAGAGGAGATAAAACATTCTTGTCGTTTTTACATACAGTATATGTGAAAATAGCAATGTATATATATATAATTGTATGTTGATTATTTCAGAACATAAACCCTCCACCCTTTGTATAGGGTTGGCAAATATATATTTAAATTTTCATCTATTTTACACTTATGAATCTACTTTCAATGGACGATGCTGATGTTGACCGGATACGTATGTTTGATTATATTTACTTTTGATAGATTTAAAAAAAAACTATTTCTTCTTTTTCTTTTTTAAAGTTTTTATGACACCATCATTAACACCACATATCAGCGACTCAAATACATCGGATTATTTTGATTTAGAAGTAAGTTGTTTTGTTTATTTTATATTGATAAAATGTTTTTACTTATTGTAATAGTGTTCTTTTTCACAAAAAGAGTATCAACAACAAATGTCGCATTTAACAACAGAATTACAAAAAGTTGCCAATCTTTCTTGCCAATCAAGTAAGCAGAATTATTATATTATTCGTTCAATAGGTGATTCATCAATTTTATCTCTTTGAAACACTTATCTTTCAGAAAATCTGGACAATAAAAACAAGATAATAGCTATAGACATACATCTTGACTACCATTACTTAACCTTAATAAGTTATCAAGATTCTGAGAAAAAAACTAAAATGGTTTTAATCTATTTAGAAAAAGTGCAATTTTAACTTTTCAAAATATTTGTTTTTCTTTAGCTGAAAATGAATCAGATATACAAGATCAACAACCAACAGAAGCTACTGATGATAGTAAATATTTATTATTTTTATTTATAATCTGAACATTTAAATTTAATATTCAAATAATTTAGGTAATGATTCTTCCCATATACAAATAACTACAGTTAATCATACTATTGATGGTTAGTTTGTTTGTTTTGATATTAGAAAAGAAATTAATTTTTATTTTTTCTTATACTATAGATTCTCTTCATCTACAAGCATCAGAAGAACATGATACTCATACACTTTCAGTAGTACAAGAAACTGGTTTAATCGAAGAGAGTTTTTCCTCTGTAACGTCAGATACTGAAACAATACTAATGGACGAATGTCTAGAACGACCAGTGTTTAATTATAGTCGTAGTCTATGTGTAGCATATAAAGATGAAGACGATGGTATAATAAATATGCAATAAAACAATTCTAAAAGATAAATTAATATTTTTTTCATTTAATTAGACATATCAATCATCAAAGAAGCATTAACAGATAAAACACCCATATCATTAGAATTTACTGGAATAGAAAAAAAAGATAATAAAAATCTTGGACATATTATGATAAGCTATAATCATTCAACGAGAGCTATATGTTCAAGAATTTCTAAAAATTTGAAAGTAAAACATTTTTTTCTTAGTTTTAATATTTCCTTTATCATATATATATACATTAGGATCGTAATTATATCATTTGGATTGATGAAGATGATATATCTGGTAATATTTTTGGATCGATGGCATCAGCTGTTGAAAATTCTTTTGTTGTTTTAATGGCAATTAATGAACAATACTATGAAAGTCGTTATTGTCGACTAGGTAAATATATTCATACTTTTATTTTTAAATATTTTTGTTTTTTGTTTATAGAAGCTGAATATTCTGTTGAACGAAATAAAGCATCAATACCTATGTTAATGCAAGCAGGTTATAAAGCACAAGGGTGGCTTGGTATAATAAATGGTGCTAAACTCTATATTGATTTTTCTCAACTTCCATTTGATGAAGCATTTAGTTTACTAGTACGAGAAATTGAAGCTGTTCGGAGTTCGTTAGGTGCTAATGAAAATGATCGAACCGGTAAATAATATAATAATTTTGTTTTTAAAAAAAAAGAACATTTTCTTTAGTTGCAATTCCTATAAACAATCAGATAACTACAACAATGAGTAGTACATACTTTCATTATCATAATGTCCAGGAATGGTCTGCCGATGATGTTATTGAATGGTTAAATCGAGAAAAACTTCAAATGTAAAATTAATATTTACCTTTTCTATATAAATATGAATATTTTTTTTATAAAAATTTAGTTTTGAAAATGCGTTAAAAAATTTTACTGGTGCAACACTATGGCAATTATACAAAATTAAATTTGATGTAAATAATATATATGATTATTTGTTCATAATTTCTTTCTGTATATATTCTTTTTAGTCTCCATCAGATTACCATCGAATGGTTGATTTATTAATTTCTCCTACAATGCCACTTCGAATTTTTTATATTTTAACATTCAATTCTGCTATTGAAACACTTTTTTCATCATCTTTTCAATCCATACATCGATGATATTCTTTTTCATACTATGAATATATATACATATATATACAATGGATTTATCTATTTCTTTTCGAAGAAAAACAAAATGCGAAATCAATCGAATTCTTCCGATATAGAACTCAGATTGTTTCTTTTAAATTTATATTCATCTTTCGGCTTTTAATGATATAAAAACCAGTGATATTTATATTCGATATTTTAAATGTGAATTTTTTTTTAATATAGAGTATTTTTCTATAAATAAAGTTATGTGAATTTTTTTTATTGATTAAATAAAGTGAAACTTTTTTCATATTTACTTTATTACGTGTATTATGCGTCAATAATAAAATGGTTATATTGGAAAATGATATAAGATTTTTATTTTTGTTTTTTTAGAACATGTCTATGTAGACTTATTGATTCATATATAATAAATCGATCATCGAGTTTTAATATAATTGGTAGTTTGCCTTTTTGATTGACATTATAGCATAGACACGGAGGCGTTCTTTTCTTACAAAAAAATTTATTTTGATGGTTTTTTTACCATATTTCAGACATGAAAACAGTCTGAGCAGTGCGTTTTTTTAATTTATTTTTGGCAAAACAGAGAGAGAAGAAAGAGGACAACTTTGTTTTTTTCTTTATTTCTACAAAAAGTCAGACGAACTGATAAAGAAGAAAAAGAAAAATTATAAAGGCTCCAATAGTATTTAAGCAAAGAATACCTCGTCATTCTTATTTTTTGTTTTGGTATGTTATAAAGCGTAGACATGCACAAGAGGTCGGCAGTGTTTTTCATAGAAATAAGAATCAACATGAGAGAAATATGTATTTATTCTTTATATATATACAGCGATTATATACTTAGTTTTAACCGTGTAAGATAAACTAAAGGACATCTAATTTTCAGATTTATTAAATAAAATCTATTATCAGCAAGTATGGAACGGACACTTTGTTTTTCATCTGAAGATACAAATTCGAATGATCAACAACAGCCATTATTAGCAGCAGATCTCATCAGTGATGATGACATGAATACAGTATAGTCGATACAAAGATAAACAACTGAATTAATTAATATTTTTAATATTTTATAGTTAATATCAAATCTTGATTTATTTTCAAATAATCCACTTGATGATTATATTCCGATACCACTCAATCAAAACAATTCTATTGATGAAAATATTAATATCGATGATCTTATTAATCCAACCGATAATGAACGTAAGCTTTAATATATCATACATTCATATTTACAATTTTAATGCGCACTTTGATATTGTAGCTAAATATATCTAATCTGTGTAGAACAAGTCACATGAGAGAGAGAATAAATAAAACACTTAACCTTGCTGATAAAAACTAATTCGTTTTGTTATTTTATTATTTTTCATAGAAATTGATTCTTTAACATTAAATTCGAATGACTTCTTTGGAGAACCAACCGATAACGATGAAATAAGCCAATTAATCGATTCATATAATATCGGTGAACCATCACAACAAAGTACTTTCATAGAACATTATGAAAATACAAGTCTTGAACAATCACAACAAAGTAGTTTCATAGAACATGATGATAGTTCAAGATTTTATCAACCACAATCAAGTATATTATCCTAGTTTTCAATTATTTCTCATTAAATTTAACATTCACTCTATTTTAGTATATTCATCACCAGTGTCTGTTCGAATTGGTAGCTCACCAGCAGAACCACAAGCTAATGAAAGTAAGTAATATTATATATAAATTTAATATATTAATTATTTATTATCTTTCATTTCAGCTGTACTTAGTACACAAGCTTATTTAAATAGACAAGAGGAAATATATCGAATGGCATCAAAACCTAAAAAGAATAAAAGTACATTCATTATTGTTTTTTTTATATAACATTCTATAATTAATTTTTTTCCTATAGAACTTCAACAACGGTCAACAACTGTTGCTCCTATTGAATATTATATGCGTATGTTTATATCTAAAATATGTTTAAGTTTATATTTAATTCTTCTAGAATCTGGTGATTGTCAACCTTGTGTTACACAATTACAAAGTGATTTAGCATATCAACAACAAAGTAGATATATTCTTTTTAATTGTTCATTAAGATAATTTTTGATTTTCGTATTAGCTCTTGAATATGATATTGCAGAAACAAAACCAATTCAGATAAAAGATCAACCACGTCCAAAATATCGTCCACGAACACAAAATGAAAGTAAAATTTCAGCACATTATATTCGATGTGAAGAAGGTATTACACCAGGATATCCAACAATTATGGTATACTATTTAATTACATTATATTATATGATTAAGAATCATTTTTATTTTGTTTCTTATTAGATGCATCCAGATTGGGCTTTCCACGCTGATATAAATCTTATTGAAGTTACTTTGGTAGGCATCGATCAACAACCACATCCATATACACTCCATAATAAAGATTGTTCAGCAACATTTGAAGAGAATACATTAATCTTTAAACAACATGAACCAAATGTTTTATATTTTCGTTTAACAAATGATGATTATCGAAATGGATATAAAACGTATGTATATATTTTGTTTTTGAAAACTTCAATTTGACATATTTTCATCTATGATAGATTGATGATTGAATTAATTAAAGGTAAACAAAGTGATGTTATAACAAAAGAGTTAATTCGTTCACGACAACTTGAAAGTTCAATGCTACGTCTGACACGCATTTTTCAAGTCGGAAAAGGCGAATATCAACGTGATGAAGGAAGTGTAGTATATTCTAATGTTATGACTGAAGGTAGGATAAATTAGTTTATAATTGGAATAGAAATTTAATAAATATTTTAGCTTATGGTGATGTTGATATTGAACATATGGGTCCACGATATGGACCAATGAGTGGATTAGAAATGGTATATATGGTCCTAAAAGGTCAAGTCTTGAAAAATGATATAAAAATTGAAGTAAATGTCCCTTATTTTAATTGGAATTATCCTGTGGAAAATTTTACTAAAAATGGAAAGGTTATTTATTTTCAAATGCCACCTTTTCCATATCCAGGCTATGAAACAGCAAAAGCAAATATCATAATAGTACATAAAGGAGAAGAATTAACTCAATCGCCTTATTTATATAAAGGATCATTAGATCGTATGTAAATGTTTCTTTTTAAAATCATATTTCGAATTATTTTATTTATAGGAGAATTAGCTGAACTTAGTTTAGATGATTCACCTCCAACTACTACTTCATCATTATCATTATCATCATCATCATCATCATCATCATCGTCATCGTCATCATCATCAGTAGCAGGAATGCCAAAATTCGAACCTTTCGATTTCTTATTTCATTCTAACGCACTTTCTAACTCACGTACACAAAAAACATCAACAAATAAATCTACAAAACGTCTAAAAAAATAAAAATTTACTATTATCTTAAAACAATTCTACTGGTCATATTTTACTCTGGATATTAAGTTTAAAACAATCACATTTATATATTCATCACCTGTTTGTTTAACAATTTTGACGTGCTGTATATACATGTTATTACTTTTTGCATGTTGATGTTTCACATAGAACTTAGTTTAAAACTCTCTAAAAGAGCTATGAACTTTATTCTGTTTTTCATGTTCTTTATATATATCTTTTTTATTGTTTTGCGTTTTTGTTTGTCTATGGACTAATAAAAGAAAGAAAAAACAATAAAATATTGTATAAAAATGAAAGATTTTATCAAGGATTCAATTAGATATATTATTATTATTCTGTATTTTATTTAACTATATAAAGTTCATACCTAAAACGAAAGATAGATGATTTAATCATACATAAAAAGCTGATCTAGTTGGAAAACAGCATATTCAAGTAAATATCATTAAAATAGTGAGATAAATTTATTGTAGGATATTCAGTACGAGCCTAATCAAAGTTGAACAAATTCTGTAGAGTCCTTATTTCAGTTTTAGAGCAGATTCGCTAATAAGTTTTAGGATTTTCTATCTTTGTCACTTAACTTCGAATTTTCGGGATATACATCCTCATATCATATCATATATATATATGTATTAAAATCTTGGGATATCAGTATCAATGTTTCCACACTACATAGACAACGAACACACGATTATAGAAATTAAATGAGTATTTTAAATAATAATAAATAAGGTATAGTAGTATTAAATGAAAACGAATGTGAAAGCTAAAAAGAAGTTAAATATAAATTTTTTTCCATTATATATATATATGGAGAGATAGAGATAAATCGAGTAGTGGTTATGACTCAACAAATGTTTTTTTGTGCTTCATTTAGATTTATAGGAAATAACTCGAATGATCGATTACAATTATTATATTGGAGTCACTTACGAAATGATAACAGTATCCTTATGATCGTCTTCTGTCAAATACAAATTGTTTCTACATCGCACTTTACCATAGATCCAATCGATATTTGACGAGCATATTTGTACATGTCATAGACGACGATTTATGGGTAAAATTTGATGGCTGCCTATATACTGAATTGCTGCTGTATATAGCTGCATAATGTAAGACTTTAAATCCACTTGTATTCATTGCTATATCATATACCTCGTGCAAAAATATAACAGCTATATATATATATGACAATAGCATGAAGGAGAAATCCATGCGATAAAAATATCCCTTAAATGATAGGAAAAGTAATCAATATGAAAAGATGATAAGAGAAAAATCCAACAAACATATATAGATATAGAAGGAAGAGAAGAGGAAAAAACCATTGTATATATCTATCTGTGGGAATGGAGAAATCCAATATGTATGACTAATGATATATATAAAGAAGAGAAAGAAAAATCATATAAATGATAGAGATATTTTTATTAGCTGTAGCTGAACATGATGAAAGACATAACACATACTATGGTTTACTAGTATATTATTGATAGGACTCAAAAGGAATTTATTTAATAGTTTCTTAAGATTAATCGAAATAACTAAAACTTATATATTCAAGTTAAATAATAGATAGTGATGAATCTCAGATAGTTCGGCAACGAAGACTACTATGATTCAACTGGGGGAAGTAATGCAATTTCGATTCTACTTGAATAAAATGGTAGTCACGATTAAGATTTCAACTTTACCTGAATGACCGTACAGTTTATCAAAAATGAATCATGCTGATAAAATATATATATATATGAACAATAGATTGCTTATTTTTTTGAATGATTACTCTAATCCAAATAAACATAATTCTTGTTAGTTGGAATAGATTGAACAAAACTAGCATAATTTACTCATTTTTTTTATTGTTAACAATAGATTTCATAAGTTTATAATTCATAAGAATAATAACTTATCTATTGAACTAATACAAACAATCTAACGACACTGTTGAGAACAATTGAAGATATTAATAAAGTTTTGACTGTATGAATAAGAGAAAAAGAAGCTTTATATAACTCGCGTAATATTTATTTATAATAACTAAATAAAACTTTATTAAATAAAATATTTATATGTACACTGAACAAGATTTTTCTATCAAACATGTTTGTTTTCATCGAATAAAATCTGTCAATACAATATTATTTTTCGAAATGATTTCTATTTTATCTTTATCATATATCATGTGAACTACGACCTTACAAGGTAGTATAAATCACTGATAGACAACGCGTTGTGTTTAATGCTAACAATAGATATTATTTCATACATACAATATATATGAAATGACGTATTTATATCGAGGTTCGTATTTTTCCTCTGCACTATTCATTTATTCAGCAAAAGTACGTCTTTAGAATAGTTAGTCATAATATGCGTATTTACTTGGAAATTGCCAAACAGATCATAGAAAAATCCAGTTACTAATAATTAAACATAAAAGTATGGGTATAATCCAATAGACGACAGAAATGAAGAATTACGTATAAATGAAAAATAATGTGATATGCATAATATGATAGAAGAAAAGAAAAAAAAAGAGATGACAAAATATACGGTAGATATTGTGCTTCAATTATGTAAAATTATTCTAAAAGGTATAGTAGCTTCGATAAATCGTAAGTATATTCAATTTTAGCATTTAGAAGCTATTTGCTTAAGAATAGTATTGCCATATAATAGAAGAATAAAAGCTTTACTCGTTAATGAATTTGTTTTTAAACTATTTTATTACAATTCATATTAACAGAAGAAAAGAATAAAAGAAATGTTTTTTTCCCTTTTTTTATTGGAATTTTCTTTGTAATAATGATTCATGAAAATATATATTTCTTCTATTAATGAATATATGAAGCGATTGAGTAATAAAAAAAGTTATTTTTCATCCTACAATCCATCACTTGACTATGATTTAAGAAAAAGAAAGACTTATTATATTTCAGATTTAATTCTTAGAAAATATTCGAAACAATTTATATATCAAATCAACAACATTCATTATCAATGTCATACATAAACACTTCTAATGGTTCTTCTCAACTAGTAAGATCAAATAAAAAGTAAAACTTATTTACTTTCTCTACTTATTCTTATAGAGTCTTGATGAACTTCAGTTGCATTCAGAATACGGATCTGTCATTGAGCCTGACTTGTTAAGTATACTAGACGGTAAGTTTAAATACCTTCTAATAAAAGATTTAGTTTAAAATGTTGATAAAATCAAATTTTTGTCTAATCACTTTTTGACCTTTTCAGAGGTCATACATCCCTTGAAACAATAAATATTTACCTTTGTTTTCTTATCATGAATCATGAAGGAAGTAACCCATTTCGTCCAATTACGTAGATGGGAAAAAAACAGATGCTACATACATATATATCTATAGAATCAACAAAAACCTCGTCATACCTGGGATAAAACCTTTCATGACTCAATAATATAAATTATTTTCTTCTGATTCATAAATAGAGTCTGTCATTTTTCAGATTTTGATACAGAATCACATAACAACATTCAACTTACAGAAAACATGACAGGTTCTCATAATATAATCATCTCACACAATAGTCAATTGCGAATAAATATGCTTCGACATGATTTAGAACAATCTTTACCAAGTAATTTTAAAATCTTCTTTCTACCTTACACTTTATATTTTTATTTATTTACTTATAGATTCGAATAATATTTATACATCTTCACAAACTGACAATTTACTACCTAAACCAACAAATATTGACAGTATTTATTATTAGAAAAATTGATGACTTTTTATATATTATCTATTGTAGGACAAATTCTTCCACAAATTCTTCCAAATGAAAATGAAAATATTTTAAAAAAAGGTAATTATATATCATTCATATTTTATTACTAATAATAAAACTGATTCATTTATTTCCTAGTTCATCAAAATCAGTCGATAACTGTTTCTCCAGTTAATTATATATCAGGTATATATATAGGTTCAAATAAACAATAAAAGTACGAAAACTTTGTTTTAGTTGTAAATACACATGGAACGTATAACAGTACACAAATGCAAAGAGATCTTCCATATCCTACACATCAAAGTATATCTTTTAATTATGTGCTTTTGATTATATTAAACTTGTTTATTCTGTGTAGTTTCTAGTGGAAATGCTATGAACTCAAAGAAAATTCAAATAACATGTCAACCACGTTCAAAATATCGTCCACGAACATACAATGAAAGTAAAAAATCATCTCATTATATTCGTTGTAAAGAAGGTGCTAAACGAGAATATCCAACAATTGATGTAATACATTGATCAAAAATATCCAGGCATAACATAAAAAATTTGTTTGTGTTATAGATACCTCGAGAATGGGGTGCTCAATCAAATCAGAATATAATCGAAGTTGCTCTTATGGATATCCACAAAAATCTACATCCTTACTCACTTGAAAATAAAGCTAGTAGCAAATCTACTGAAGAATCGGCATTAATCTTTAAACAAAATAATCCTAATATATTGTATTTTCGTTTAACGAATGATGATTTCTTATCTGGCTTCAAAAGGTAAGCTTAATATTAAACATATTTTTTTGATAATTTTTAACGATATTTCTTTTTTTCATAGTTTTATGATTGAACTAATTAAAAGTAAACTAAATGATACTGTTACAAAAGAATTAATTCGTACAAAAAGTCTTCATCAATCAATGCTTCGTTTTACACGATTCTATCGGGATGGTTATACTTTTGTACGAGATACGGACAGTGCAGAATATTCTTGTATAATGACAGAAAGTAAGAAAAAGAATCATTTTTCTATTCATTGTATGAAATGAATATTTTTGTTTTATAGGCTATGGTGATATTACTATTGATCATATGGGTCCACAATATGGACCGATGCATCAAGAACAGAAGATATTTATCATTTTTAAAGGTCGTATTGCTAAAGGTGATATATCAATTATTATCTCTGAAGAAAACGATGTTTGGCGTCAAAAAATTAAAAAAATTATACTTATTGGTAATGTTATTTATTTTACACTACCTCCATGTCTACAACCACAAATACCTCGTGTGAGAGCAAATATTACTGTTAATTTCAAAGATATGGTACTTCGTCATTCAAAATATGTTTATATGAATACGATAGATCGTATGTTTATTCCATTTTTATTAAATATATATAATATTTATCTATATTTGTATTTTTCTAGAAGAGATCCAAAACATCGGTATGGATAATATGACTTCAAATAGTTCAAATTCTATCCAAACCAATAGTTTTCTCAATGATATGGTTGCTAATATAGATGGTACAACATCTACTTCTCGAAAAATATCAAAAAGCAAACCAAAAAAACGTTTAAATAGTAAATGAAGATGATTTTAATATCGAACAACAAAGAGTTTTAAAAGTGTTACATCGTTAAGATGCATGCTTAGTTTTATAGTTTTTTTTATTGTTTTCAGTTTGTTATTTTTTTGTTATTATGTTCATTTCTTTGTACATAAGCTACATAAAACCATACATATATTATATCAAAGCTTATAATTATTTCAGTACTTGATCGATAAGTTTGTTACATATTTTTTTCCATTGGAGCATTACAAAATTAATGATCTTTAAAGAGATATACTGTTTCTTTCATTTCAATTTTTATTCGTTATTAAATCGAATAATATTGAAAAAGATTAAATCGATGGAATAAAAATATTATAAGAAATTATTATCATTTACATAAATCCTTTTTGATAATAAATCTAGTTGGTATTAATCTATGCTATTACCGTGTACAATGGGTTTTAATATGATTCTATTTCAGAGAGAGACAGATACGAAATATTTAATACAAAATACTTCTATGAAAACATATTATGATCTTAGAAGCAGGTGCATTTTTAATTGAATATGATCGAATTCAAACACGAATTGATAGTTAAATAGTATTAATCATACCATTTATCCTTCTATCGATATAATTAAATGACATTTATAGAATACGTCACTATTGATTTTGATATATTGGATACTTATTTTTTCCAACGTATTATAATCAGTTAAGCCACAAAAAAAACAGTATGATATTTGGAGAAAGATTGCAATAGTAGAATATTTCATTTTGTCTACTTAAAAGTATCGTTAGAATCATACAAAAGCAAATATTAAAAATAAAAAAAATAATGAGTTCACATATGATATATATAGACTATTATCGAAATCAATCTACGTTTTTTCTTTAATGATTAATATATTTATTTATACATTAGATGATATTAAATATGCTTTTGATTTCAATAGTAAATATTCGATATATATATATAATGAATCGTCTCAATTTTGTTATATTAAACACTGACTTGAATTTGTAGTATGATAAATGCTATAAACACTCGTTGATTCATCTTAGACGCATCTCTATGCGTTTGTATTATCTCGAGAAGAAAAAAATTTTTTTTTCGACGTAAATATATGCGTAGAATCATAATATTAGTCATACTTCCCTTATATTCCTTATATGGAAAGAAGCATAATAAAATGCAATATTTATTTACAACCCTTTTACCTAATAAGTAAAAGTGGAGCACAAAAAAAAACTTTTCTTCGGGGCGCTTTAACAACACTTGTATGACTCATAATGACAAACAACTAAAATTGTTTCTATAGCGATACCAATCGACAAAATAAGTAAAATTAAAAGAAAACTCTTAAAATGATTTATTGAATTTGTCAACAATTCTCTTGTATTTTACTACTTTTAATAAATATGTATTCTTAATAAAAGAAGATTTCGCCTACCCATATTTCAATATTTTAACAGGTCATAGTAACAGAATCATTCAACCAAAACGATGAGAACAAATATGTAAATATTGTTTCATATTTATCGACATTAGGCGAACGTATAGATTATAAATCACGATTGAAGCTATGTAGATTATTATGTTGTTTTAGAAAATATTGTGCAATTTCGTCGAATATTTATTTGAAGCTGACTGTTCTTTTCTTTTCATTCTCCGATAATTTGTGAGAAATATAACTCATATTGTCATATGTTAGTCATTAAAAGCCTGGTTGTGCAATAATATGACGACGTGTCACGCGCCTGCATCCCTATTAAATAGTCTTTCTTAAATAGTTTCACAAGCATTCGTTGAATAGAAAGTAAAAAATGTTATCATCAGCTCGACAGTGTCTTTCGCATCGATTTCTTAAATCTACAACTGCGTTACCATCTAAGTCTCATGCATTCAATTTATCTACTTCATCATCATTTACATGGCAACAATCAACTGAAGATGATAAAAAAAACTATCCAGCTGAAGATGTTTTTCGAGCAGGAATGAAACATCATCATATATGTAATACAGCATTTCCAATTGCTCATAATACTACTATTCGACCATATCGAATAAAAAGACTTCGTGATCAAGAAGATATTCAATCAACTTATTATGGTGCATACGGTTCATTACCCGAAATGATGCTTTATGCACATATACCATTTTGTCAAACACGTTGTCAATTTTGTGAATATACAGTTGTGAATCCCAAACAAGGTAAAAATATTGATATACAAACAAATTATTTTTCTGCACTTTACGCCGAACTTGATATGTATGCAAATTTATTAAATACAAAAGATAAAAAATTAATTGGATTTGATATTGGTGGTGGTACACCATCAATGGCTAAAACAGAACATGTTCAACAATTAATGGAACGTGTTGAAAAACAATTTCAAACAAATTGGGATACAACTGAAGTATCGATTGAAACAACGCCACGAATAGCTGCAGCTGAACCAGAAAAAATTAAAGCATATTATGATATGGGTATTCGTCGTATATCTATGGGTTTACAAACAACAGATTTTCGTCAAGCTAAAGAAATGAATCGTGAAGATGCAAATGCATCATTAGATTATATTGTTAAAGCAGTAACTAATATACGTAATGCTGGTTTTAAAAGTTTTAATATTGATTTAATGTATGGATTTCCATTACGTGCATCACGAGCCGATGATCCATGGTTAAAAACTGTTCAAGATACTATTGATCTTCAACCTGAACATGTTACATTATATCGTATGAGATATAAAGGTACATCAATGGCACATTTAGCTGATCGTGTTAAACTTGATCAAGTTAATCGTCAAGAAGGTCAAGCAAGACAATTATTAAATCAATCTGGTTATATTGGTTTAACAGGAAAAAATACATATTCACGTGTTCAAAATAATTCTGGTTGTTCAGATTATTTAGATAAACGAGTTAGAAAAGCTGTACCTTATATTGGTATTGGTCTTGGTGCACAATCATTTAGTCATTATACATTATCATATAATTTAGGTGCGGTAACAAAAAAATTACAACAATATATTCGTAGTGTTGAATTAAATCGTATACCGGTACAAGATCTTTATCATTTATCACGAGAAGCTGCTATTGCTAAAATGGCATCAGTTAGTTTTTACTATGGTGGTATTGATCTTATAGCATTTGAAGATTGTTTTAAAATACCATTACAAGAATTATTTCCAACTGAAATGCAATTTGCTATTGATCATGGATTAATGATACATGATAAAAAAGAACAACGTTTACAAATGACAAGTCTTGGTAAACAATGTTTTGGTGGTGTTGTTGCTTTATTTTATTCACCAGCTGTTAAAAATCATATTTTAAATCTTCAAGGTGGTGAACAATTTTTAGTTGATCCTATTAAAGCATTAAAAGAAGGTCAAAGTCCATATCAACCAATTCCTGATACAGCGGCACCAGTTCGCCGTCGAACAATGTTACCAAGTTCATCTCCACCAGTATCATCAACAGTTCCATTATCAACTTCAATACTTGCTTCACAACAAATTCAACAATCGCCAGCACATCAAACTCGCCGTTCATTTTCATCATTGGCTCGTATAGATACATCAAAACCATTTGAATTCGGTAATATACTTTTTTCAGGACCATGCAATCAGAAATGCCCATTTTGCATAGGTCATCAGTTATTAAAAACCCCAAATAATTTACGTAAAGAAAAACTTGAAAATCTTGATAAATTTATTTCATTAATAGAACAATCAAAAACATCCAAAATAATTTTAACTGGTACAAGAACAGATCCTCAACTTTATAAATATGAAGATAAATTAATCGAACGTTTACGTCATGATTTACCTAATGTTCATCTATCAATACATACAAATGGTTTATTAGCTATACCAAAAATGAAAACATTTCGTCAATATGATTCATGTACAATGTCAATAAATTCTTTTCAACCTGAAACTTATCGTAAACTTCATGGTGTTAAACAAATGCCTGATTTAAAAACAATTATAAAAGAAGCATCAAATGTTCCAATTAAACTTTCATGTGTATTAACCGAAGATAATATTCATCAAGTTGAAGAATATTTACATATTGCTAAAGAATTCGGAATTAAAAGAGTTGCATTACGACATATCTATGGTGATAGTCGTCGTTGGCCTATACAAGCATTTCAAAATAAACAACCTATTAAATATCATCAAAGTAATCCAGTTTATGATTTTGATGGCCTTCAAGTAACACATTGGATATTTGATAGTACATCGGGTCGTTCGTTGAATTTATTTTCCGATGGTACACTTAGTGATGAATATCTTTTAACAAAAGCTCCAAATCAAGCAATAGCTTAATCTATATATAAATATATGTAAAACTATATTTTTAAATCAAAGTGTATTTAGTAAAGAAAAGATAAAAATATAACCTTTCGACTTTTTCTGTATATGTATACACGTGTTTATTGTTCGTGCGTAACTCTCATAAGATGTTTATTTTCTATCGGGTTCATTCAATAAATATTATTCTCTATATGATGTTAATTCTCTATGTTTTTCTCTTAACTGGTTTCATCTCAGTTAATGGACACGATCAACAAAATTCAGAACTTGAATTAGTTGCAATTTTTGATCATCAAGTAACAGGTGTTAGTGTTCATCCAGCTTCTGGTCGAATATTTGTTAATTTTCCTCGATGGACAGAAGATTCTCCTGTTTCAGTAGCTGAAGTTCTTACATATAATACAAGTAAACCATTTCCACCTAATTCACGATGGAATTCATGGCGAAATACTCGTAAAAATGAATTAGATCCATCAAAATATTTCATTTGTGTTCAAAGTGTAGTAGTATTTAAAGATAGTCTTTATGTACTTGATCCAGCTGCTCCAGCCACTAGTTTCATTGTGAAGGGTGGAGCAAAACTTGTTGAAATCGATTTAATAACAAATGAAGTAAAACGAGTTATTCTATTCAATGAAGAAATTGCACCTCAAGGATCTTATTTAAATGATATTCGATTTTCTCCTGATGGTAAATATGCTTATATTACTGATTCAGGTGCAACAGGTGCTATTGTTCTTGTTGATTTGAATAAAGAAACAACCAAACGAGTTCTTCATGGACATCCAATAACTCAAGCAGATCCAGATATGTAAGATACTTTAAATAGATTTCTATATTTTCTTATATTTATTATTAAATAGAACTATTGAATACAATGGAAAACCCGTTCGACAACCTGATGGTCGTAGTATCGAAATGTCTGCAGATGGAATTGCTCTTTCTGTTGATGGTTGTACTCTCTATTGGCAAGCTGTTCAAGGCAAAACTCTTTATTCTATTTCAACATCTTTTCTACACTCAATAGATTCCGATAGAGAAATTCCTTCACAATTTGCTATCATTGGAGAAAATGGTCCAGCCGATGGTTTATGGATTAGTCAAAAAGAACCAAATCTTCTTTATGTTACTTCAATACAAGATAATTCAATTAAAATACGCAATTTATTGACAAATACATATGAAATTAAATTAATGGATAAACGTCTTCGATGGCCAGATACATTTTCAGAAGACAAACATGGTTATATATATGTAACTACTTCACAT